CATTACCCACTCCACTGCCTGACACACACATGAGAGAGCAAGTGTCAAAGAGTGGTCAACCCAAACATCCCTAGAAAATTCCAGAGTCTGAATGTCTAAATTAATCTGGTAAACCAGTTTCAGAGAAGATGGGAAGAGAGCAGAGTAGCCTGAATCCCAAACTGGGAGCAAATGGCCTGAGTTCACAACCAGTCCTCACCACCTCCTGACTACGTAAACGTCGGCATGTTCCTGAACATCTCATCACCTTGCTGTCCCCACGGGTAAAAAGGGCTAGTAACCACACCTACTTCAAAGGGTTGTTAAAAGGGTTGAACAAGTTAATGTTTGCAAGGTACTTGGAAAAATGCCTGGCACTTTGTATGGGTCAGGTTCCTGTCAGGAGACAGTAACCACAGAGTAATGAGCAGGGAAGCCTTATAAATCTTTATGGGGAAATTCATGTATATAGGTACATAGATAGGTAGATATGAAGTAATAATTAGTAACAAGGGATTAGATACTAAAAAATACAGGAATAGCAGATCCAGAGGCAGCACTAGAGCTGAGCAGAGTGCCCAGGGAAGGAGAAAGCTTGGGAAAGCCCCCCATCCCTACTACCTGTGCCCCCAGGCTGAGTCTGACCTTGTGAAGGGAGATGTGACAGTGACTCTCTAGAGACCAAGAAGCTCACTGAGGTGCTGGCAGGCAAGGAGAAGCCACCCAACTTCAAGGCTTCCAAAAAGCACCTGCCAAAAAAAGAAAAAAGAGAGAAACGCGTGATATTGTTTGTCCTCAGGGGCCGGTTCCAGGCATCCGCCCACCGGTCCTGCCGCCCTGCCTCCCTAGCACTGGGGTCCCCATCCCTCCAAGGCCTCCAAAAAGCACTCGCCAAAAAAAAGGAAAAATGCGCGACCCTCTCCGTACCCAGGCGCCGGTCCCAGGCACCCGCCCACCAGCCCTGCCGCCCTGCCTCCCTGGCACTGGGGTCCCTGTCCCCCTAAGGGCTCCAAAAAGCACTCGCCAAAAAGAAAAAAAAAGGGAGAAACGCGTGATTTTCTTTGTCTGCCAGGCACCCGTGCACTGGTCTTGCTGCCCTGCCTCCCTCGTATTGGGGTCCCCGTCCCTCCAAGGCTTCCAAAAAGCACTCGCCAAAAAAAGGGAAAAAAGCGCGATTTTCTTTGTCCTCAGGCGCCGGTCCCAGGCACCTGCTCACCGGTCCTGCCGCCCCACCTCCCTGGCATTGGGGTCCCTGTCCTTTTAAGGCTTCCAAAAAGCACTTGCCAACAAAAAGAAAAAAAAAAAGGGAAAAACGTGTAATATTCTTTGTCCTCACCACCGGCCCCAGGCACCCGCCCACCGGTCCTTCTGCCCTGCCTCCCTAGTATTGGGAAAAATGCGCGATTTTCTTTGTCCCCAGGTGCCGGTCTCAGGCACCCGCTCACCAGTCTTGCTGCCCTGTTTCCCTGGTATTGGGGTCCCTGTCCCTTTAAGGCTTCCAAAAAGCACTCGCCAAAAAGAAAAAAAAAAGGGAAAAATGCGCGATTTTCTCCGTCCTCAGGCACCGGTCTCAGGCACCTGCCGACCGGTCCCGCCGCCTTGCCTCCCTGGCATTGAGGTCCCTGTCCCCTTAAGGCTTCCAAAAAGCACTTGCCAATAAAAAAAGGGAAAAACGCGATTTTCCCTGTCCCCAGGCGCTGGTCTCAGGCACCTGCTCACCGGTCCTGCTGCCCTGCCTCCCCAGTACTGGGAAAAATGCGCAGTTTTCTTTGTCCTCAGGCGCCGGTCTCAGGCACCCGCTCACCAGTCTTGCTGCCCTGTTTCACTGGTATTGGGGTCCCTGTCCCTTTAAGGCTTCCAAAAACCACTCGCCAAAAAAAACCCGCTCCGGTTTCTTTCCACCCGCCGGGAGCCGGGGGGAGGGGCGCTCGGGTCCCGCCGGGCCCGGGCTTGTATCTTAACCCCTTCGCGAGGCACTGGGTTCTTGCAGGTGTGGATGTGGTCTGGATGTTGTCCTGTGTCCTCTGGTCTCTATTTTAGGAAGAGTTTTCTTTGTTATAATTTTATAGATCTATGTGGTTTGGGGAGGAGATTTCCACTGCTCTACTCACACCACCATCCTGGCTCTGCCCCTCCTCGTTTGATTTTTATACATGATTTATATGTGAATCCCACATTTCTCCCTTATTATTATTATTATTGTTTTTTTTCTAAAATGCTAAAGTGGTAGGTAGATGCAAGATAAAGGTAGAAAACATAGTTTAGTGTTGTAAGAGAGCAAATGTAGATGATCAGGTGTGTGCCTGTAGACTAAGTGTTAATCCAAGCTAGACAAGGGCAACAAAACATCCATGGATGCAGAAGATTTCTCTCAAAACAGGGGGGGTGAGGTTCTAAGCCTCCCCTCTGTTGGTTCCCAATTTCTCTCCTGATAGCCCCCCTGCGACTGTGCCTGTAGGACAGATTTTTTTAATCGGCAGGCCTGAGACATCCTTCCTCTGGGATCATCCTCCCCCTCGATCCCCAGGTCTCCACTCCGGCCTGTGATGGACAGCTCCAGTGTTTGCTTGCTCATCCACAGTCCCGACTTAGGAGAGGCAGTGATTTTGCTCAGGTTAAATCACCCATTTAAAGCAATGGTTCTCAACTGTGGATGATTGATGCAGTGCCCACCTTCCACTCCCAGGAGACTCTTGGAAATGTCTGGAGACTTTTGATTGTCCCAACGGTGGTAGGGGTGCTCGCCATGATGCTGCTCAACATCTCAGACTATGTGGTATGTCTGCACACAATGAAGAATTAGCCAAACTGTCAACAGTGTCAGCACAGGAACACCCTCCTCTGGGGGGTGCAAGGGATTTGGAGAAAGTGAACAGAGACAGAGCCAATGAGCAAGGACATGCTTCCTTGTTCCTCAAAGGTTCCTGATGAGTTCAGCCTGGGTTACAAATCCAGTCTGGCCAACCCACCGCCTGAGTCTAAATATACAATTTCTGAAGCCTCGGGCTATTCCTGTCATCTACATAGAAACTGAGTACCCATGTCTTCCAAACCAAAAAATTAATGGATGAGTTCTTGAAAGAGCTGCTATTGAAGCAGAATGTCCAAAACATTAAGAAATCTTGGCAGAAGGAAGCAATACTTGTACTTTCCAACGTCAGCAAATATACTCCCTTTTGCTTTCCATGTGCTTGCCAATGTTAAACAAGTTTAATGTGCTCTCTGTTTGAATAAACTTCTCTAAGTTTCAAGCCCCTATATTCATTCCTATAGCTGAGCAAAATATTACTAAGGCAATGAGGGCTTCAGGTAAAAGAGGGGAAATGAAAAGTATGAGAAGCAACATTATCAAATAAAAAGTTGCTAAATAAGCAGGGCAGCACACTGACGGTTACTGTCCAATTCTATTTGTCTTAGCCACAGCCTACCTTAGAAACTGTCTAGCTGGCAAAATAGGAAGTGGGTATGCACGGAGGCAACAACTGCCTGTGAACAAAGAAAAATTAGCTTTTTGGTAATAATGTGTAACAATGTGTGTAAACCATGTGTCTCATGATACTTCCACTCACAGGACTGTAAGTGAAAATGGCTCCTTTGAGGCTGTACCACCAACTAAATTCTGTGACTATGAAACTCTGAACACAGCTGGAAACCAACTTTTTTTCTGTTAGCTCTTCATGTTTCCTTTTTTGGCTATTCTACATGCTTGAAATGCTGCGTGCGAACTGCAGCCCTCAACAAAGAATCAGTCACCCACCCCTCACTGACTGGAATCAGCAACTTGGTGACAGTTTTCAAGGGAGTTTCCTAGCATATGGAAAATGACAGTATTTTCCGTAGCTAAGTTCCTAGTTAACATAGAAATACACGTTAATCAATTGAAGACAGTTTTCATTTGCTGTAGTAGAAGCTTTTCCTTCATTTTACCAAGTTCATACTCCCTGCTTAGTGTCTAACCAACATCCTACAAAATGGAGATTAAATCTACTCAAAACTATTGCAGATAAAAGGCCATCCTTTTCTAAGGCAGCCTCATATTCATATAAATGTTAGCATTCTTCTCTTTACAGAACAATTTACTATCACAAATCTTTGTGCACATTCAAAATGCTATTTAAATAAAATTTTTCTATGAACAGCTTCTCAGGTAAAGCCAAATATGCTTGTAAGTTAATTCCTTCTTTAGAAATCAAAGTAAAGCTGGAAAAAATTATACTGTATTTATCCATAGACTGGGAAGTGAGTCAACAATTTTTTCAGTGGTAGCACTTGGTAAGGAAGTAATAAGGCCCAGCCTGTGAAAGAAAAAGAAATTGTGTCAGCAATTCAGGCAAGAGAATAAAAGCAGGAGAGGAAAAGGAGAGACTGCTTTTCCCTTTTTCTGAAGTCAGCCAGGGTCCACCCACCAGCATCGTCTCTGGGATCTTGTGAGCTATGTCTTGGAATTACTTTAAAGAACTTGACAAGTTAGGTGCCCATTATGGCCATTGCTAAAGGTAATTGCAGGCATTAGTGATACTCATGCTAAGGAACTTGCACTGTATTTCCTTTGTTCTGGCACTATAAACCCTCAGGTCACAAACCTGTTTCCACACCCCTGAAGGTTGCTGTCAGATACATTTTCTAAAATAACTGGGGACAGAGGGTTGCCCTAACTCTTCAGAATTTACTGAAGGCCTACCGGGCAGTGCAGATACAGAGGCAAAGCAGTCCCTGTCTACTAGGAGACAGACATGAAACCCAGTGCTTTCATACCTTCCAGCTCAAAAACTCTAAATATTAAACAAATTCACACCTTTACATCTACTTCCTCCCTCTAGCTTTTCCTTTGGTCAATGATGCTGTGTCATTCTGCCAAAATCAAATCTGGGACTAAAATGTGTATGTGTGCAGGGGGCATGAGGTGTCATTGAACAGCCTTCAGTTGATGAACCTAATTTTCTTGATCTTTAATAAGAATTGGGAAAGACTACCTTCATTATGTTGTTGTTCTGAATCAAAAAGGAAAATGAACAATTAAGTAGATGAAAATACTTTATAAACTAACATAAGGCAATATTGAAACAAAAACTTATCAAAAACTATAAATGAAGCAAACCCTTCATTTGGTCTCCACTGCCAGCGTGAGGCTCTCCCCCATACAACAAACCAGTCTGAGTCAGGGTAATCCAGTTCTCAACACACAGATCACCGGAAAGGGCATAGTCAGTTATATTTTTTATATGAGCAATACTTAAATATCCTACTCACCATTAAGACTTTCTATTGTGTCATCTGACCAAACAGCTGCAGAAACCTACTTTTCCAAAGCAGTAAAACAGAATCACTGCCTATAAAGCATGCTTTCCTTTTATTTTTTTAAATTTCCAGCAAGAGCAATGGATTGTGATGAATTTCTCTTGTTTGCAGATTGGTATCAGGAAAAATGTGTTTTTATGCAAAATTAACTTAACCCCAGTTTACCACACTTCCCAGATATTTTTTCTTACAAATTGAAGGTTTGTGACAATCCTGCATCAAGCAAGTCTCCTGGAGGCATTTTTCTGTTCACTTTGTGTCTGTGTCACATTTTGGTATTCTGGCAATAGTTCAAACTTTTTCATTATTATTCGTCGTGGTGAACTGTGATCTTCACAGTTCTGAAGTTGTGGTGAACTTCAGTGATTAAGACTCACTGAAAGTTCCAATAAAGGGTTAGCATCTTTTAGCAATGAAGTATTTTTTATAGTATTTATATTTTTTAAATACTTAATGCTATTGCACTCTCAATGGACTACAGAACAGTGTCAACATAATGCACTGGAAAACCAAAAAATTAATTTGACTTGCTTTATTGCAATGTTCACTTTATTGCTGTGGTTTAGAACCAAACCTGCAGTATCTCCAAGGTACACCTATAATCTTCGTGTTTCTTTTATAAAAGACACATTATAAATTAATTAATGTAAAATTTTCTTTTATGAATTAGCCATTTAAAATGTCCTAGAGCAAGCAATACTAATAATGCCCTAATTGAGAGTTCTCAAAATGCACTATTGCCTTTGATTTTTCAAAATGCCTGGATTGTTTATAGTATTTTTCAAGGTGACTGAATGTTATATATTCCACAGGGGAATGTCATTCATGAATCTTCAGGTAAATATTCACTTTTTTAAAGACAAATAAACCACCTATTTTTAAAGGCTCTGATATATGGGTGGCTAGAAATAGCAGAAATAGATAACCTATTATAAATGAACAATCTTTCAAACTACTGAAGGGCTCTGAGGCTTAAAAGTAAGTATAATCACAGAAAATGTCACTTCTTATGGAAAAGTTTTACTTTTTTTGTATAAAGTGATGTTTTGGCTTTATTTGCTTTACTCTTTCAAAGTGATGCATGTACAATGATGAGCACTGAGTAAAAAGTACCCTGCTTTCTGAACTTATTTTTAGCACACTGTAGGCAATACTGCTCACTGAATGTAGAAATGTGATCCAATTATAAAACATAACATGTAAGAATAAACACATTACAACTGGATAGCTGTGAAAAAATAGAGGATTGATCAAAATATCCTATTTAAAAATATTAAATTCAAGTTAAGTGGAAATTTTATGAATAAAAAGTCATATTAAATAATCAGACTGACACTTCAATGGTCATTTCTGAAAAACAAATATTACGTTTACTTAAAAAGCTAAACTTTTAGCTTCTCTTTTCCAAAGTACTTTCAAAACTTAACTGTTCAGATTAAAATATTTTAAAATTCATTCCAAAGACATGTTGTATAGTTACTATCCCAAGAAATCCTCTTATGCATAACTAAATCTACTAACGGAATAGAGTAAGAAAAGTCAATCTAGGAAGAAAACAGTTCAATTAAGTGAGGGTTAGAGTGTGATCTCAAATTGTCTTTTTTTTCTTATTTCCTTTCATGTTGTCTTTTGAGACTGAGAGTAACTTAGAGCGAGTTCACCTTGATCTACATTTTCACTCAATTCTCTCCTGGCTGAGATAAAGCACAGGGAAGTGCTAATTCACCCTGTTTCTCTCTGCCCAAACCTCACTCCTATAAAGGGACTACAGTGAGTAACATTACAGAAGTGCCTATTGCCTACAATTATTTCAGCAACAAAGTGGACTTCTCTAGTGACAATTTTATTGTCTTGTTTTGTTGCCTTAATATCAATTAAAAATTTTTAAAAGATAGAAATTCAAATTCTCTGTGGACAAATAATCATTTAAAAGTTAGGAAAATTAGAAGTAAACACAGGCCCAACCACCAGTCTCCCTCCTCCATTGCTACGCCACAGAATTCATTTTCCCCATAATTATCCTAGATAGAAACATCAGATTTCACCTTCATTTCATCAAAAACAGTGCCATTTATTCATGTATCAAAGGGGCTGGGCTCTGGGGGCAAACAGGCCCCCGCAGGTCCATGGATTCTGTCAATCAGCCTTGCCAGGACCATTCTCAGTCTGCATGGCGGGACCTTCACGGGGTGACTCTGGGGGGCCCCCGAGGCCTCACTGCTGTGCAGGTGGGCGGGGAAGGCCCGGTGGCACGCAGGGGAGTCCGCTTTAGTTCTATCACTCGGGGTAGGATGGCCTTCTTGTCGGAGAGCAGAACCTTCGCTGGAGGCGGGTGCGTGATTCCATTTTCAGCACCGTCGGTTCTGCAGGAAGCCTGCAAATGCCCAGGCACCCCAGTGTGCCCCAAGGTGGCAGCTTCTGACTGCGCAGAGGGCTGAACTGCCTTTCCACCTGGTGATGGGCTCACTGATGCCCGGGACCAGGCCTGGAGGGGACTGGCTGGAGACACCTTAACTGAAGCTGAGTTCTTGACTTTGATTTGGGTGCTGGTGGAAGGGCCCAAAAATCTGCCTGGCTTAGGACGAGTCTTACAGTTCACACCTTCTTCTTCCTCTTCATTGAATGCTATCAGTCGCCTGTAAATACAGAAGCATGTCATTGTCAGCATTGACAGGTTCAGTAACTAAAACATCTCCAAAGTTTACTCTCAGAATGAAAAGCATTTAGTAAAGAATCTGAGTTGAGGTTTAGAGGTACCTCATCTCTCATCTCCCACCAAGATCAATTTAACTAAATCAGCAAGTTTATGAAAGGGTGTTTCAACTTAAATACAAATTCTTTAAAAGTCACACATGTTAATACCAATGATGTTAAAATGTGGAGTGTTAGACTAGACTTATACAACATGTATCACTCGGTTCCCAAGAACCCTGATGTGATTCAGAGGATAATTAGGATTATGTCTGAAAGGAAAGGAGCGACTCACAGCAGCAATTCACCGGAGAATTCTGCTTTATTAGGGAAAGGTGCTGGGTTATATAGGAAGGGGCATGAATTGATTGAGGTGTCACTTCTACGGGGCTGTTGGCTGTTGGCTAGGTGCTGGGATTGGGAGGGGGGCGAGAGGTGATTGGGCTTCAGGTGGTGCCAGCGGGAACTGAGGAACCCGAAGAGAAGCCGGAAGTTTGCCATCTTACTGGTGGGGGCCCTTCATTCCCCCCTTTCTCCTCTATGGGGTTGTGGATGTTGCTTTCTCTCAGGCTGCTTCCTGCTGAATGGGGGCGGAGAAGGGAGTGAGGGCTTGAGGATCGGGAGGAAGGGGTTGATAGGACTCCCCACAGTAAGGATGAGTAGATGTGGACTTCTTCAGGTTGGAAATCAATGAAGGTTCCTGTAACCATAGGTCGAGGACCT